TAGTTTCCAGAGCTGGTACGAGTGACAGCTGGGAGTGCTTTCCTTCTTGTTGGTTTGTGGCCTTCCTCTCCTGGGAGAATAGCGACGTCTAGTGGCTTATGCTTGGAAGCTGTGCACAAACAGGGCTTCAGCTACCTGCCCACTTGTTTTGGAGTATATCTCCGCTGTTGCTGTGGTCGTGGCCTGGCTGGGGCTGCTCCTCCAAAATGGTGGAGCCCTGTTGGAGGGGGAGCAGCCGGGAGGCTATTTATCTCCGTAAGGGGCCTCTGTGCTCCCTGTTTCCCAGGGGGTTAGAGTGCCCAGAGATCCCCAGATTCCCTGCCTCTGTGCTAAGTGTCCTGTCCTGCCCCTTTAAGACTTCCAAAAAGCACTCTCCAAACCAAAACAACAGCAGCAACGAAAGAGGAAAGAAAAAAAAAAAGGAAAAAATGCGCGATTTTCTTTGTCGTCAGGTGCCGGTCTCAGGCACCTGCTCACCAGTCTTGCTGTCTTGTTTCCCTAGTATTGGGGTCCCTGTCCCTTTAAGGCTTCCAAAAAGCACTCGCCAGAAAAAAGAAAAAAAAAGGTTGAAACACACGATATTGTTTGTCCTTAGGCGCCGGTCTCAGGCACCCGCTCATCGGTCTTGCTGCCCTGTTTCCCTAGTATTGGAGTCCCTGTCCCTTTAAGGCTTCCAAAAAGCACTCACCAAAAAAAAAGAAAAAAACCTCTCCGGTTTCTTTCCACCCGCCAGGAGCTGGGGGAGGGGCGCTCGTGTCCCGCCGGACCAGGGCTTGTATCTTACCCCCTTCGCGAGGTGCTGGGTTCTCGCAAGTGTGGATGTGGTCTGGATGTTGTCCTGTGTCCTCTGGTCTCTATTTTAGGAAGTTGTCTTTGTTATATTTTCATAATTCTATGTGGTTTTGGGAGGAGAGTTCTGCTCTACTCATGCCGCCATCTTGGCTCCACCCCTAAATTTTATATTTTTGCATTTACTTTATTTTCCTCTTGATTTCATTTTTTTTTTTTTCGGTAGAGTTCTTTGGATAGGTCCAACATGTTTATGCTTGCTGAGAATAAACTGGATGAAAGTGTTTATTTTTTTGGCACTTAGAACCACCAAGGAAACATGGCCAGCCTAGGGTGTCCTTGCAGACACAGATTAAAGTTGCTATAAGACAATATGAATTTAGAAGAAAAATTTTTAGGTTGCTACTGTTTCAAGACAGCCTTTCTTTGCCCATTTGTTGATTTGTTATACTTTGTCAAATTTTATGATATAGTTTAATTAAGGAGAAGAGACATACACTCTTGAAAAGTTAACTATATAAACTATAAAACAGTTGATCTATGAATTTATTTGATAGAAGCAATAACTGCTATAATGAGTTTTTAGGGAAAAGAGTGCAATGTCCTCTAAGCAAGCCTGCCTTCAAGGAAAAGTGTCCCTAAGCCATCCCAGACAATGTTTTAACCCCTTTTTCTAGTAAACTAGATCCTTGGATATGAAATTTCAAATTATTCCCTCTTCCCCTTTATAACAAACTATTTAGAAGTGAAAATAGGGGAAATATCACAGTTTCATAGAGAGAGGAGTATTTTTATAATACTGTGTTAATCTGTAGATGCATAAACTATTTGTAAACAGCAGTAAACATCTGTGATGAGCCCTGGTCTGTATTCCAACCTTCCCCTTTGGTTATGTAAAAATGAACAGAGAGAAAAGAGGGAGGCATGAAATCCAATAACTAGCCCTAAAACTGTCAGTACAGCTTTGATCCTCCATTACACACCCTGGATCTGTGCTTAAGGATGCTAAACTCCCATGATCTTTCTGGACTGCTTCTACAGTTATTAACTTCCTTTCCAATCTTACAATCTCAGGTTAGGCAGCATCTGATATTACATCATAAGAAGCACTGGCCACTAATCAGGAACATTCGTGAAGACTACTACAGTGCCAGAAAGAGGTATGGCTCCATTTTCTAAATGAATCTTGTTTTTTCAACTTGCAAATTATCTTAACAAAGTAACTTCCTTCATCATCTGCACCAAAATTAATATATTTACTGCTTGGCTATATTAATCAATTAATAACCCATTTGTTTTGTTCTAAGATAGCATTTACCATACTATATTATAGCCTCTCCATACTTCTGAGCCATTAGTCCTCCCCCCTACCAAACTATGAGCTACTTGAAGGCAGGGATAGGGTCTTAGGCATCTCTGTATCCATATAGTGTGGATCTCATTATTAGGGGATCACAATAAATTCTATAAAAGTGAATTAAATTCTATTTAAAACAAACAAAGCCATCATTTGTTAAATGAATGGCTTGGACTAAAGGATATCTACAACCCTAGGATTCATTACTTGTTTGAAAGTTTTACAATTCTCTTCATGGCCTCATGTAAGTCATTGGTTTGATTTAATCATTAATAAACAAATAGACCTCACTATCAAAATTACTGGGAAAGTTTATTTTGGTCTCTAAAGACTGGGAAGTTATTAATGGAACTAAAGATCATCTGTTTGTTTTTTAATGTATTTATCAGTTTTATATAAAATCTTCCATTCAAAAATATGGGTATTTCAAACATACTTATAATATTTAACCGACAAAACAAATGATTAATCTTTGTCAATGTATGGATGTTTCAAACCTCACAGTCAGCCTTATGATTCAGTGTATTCTTTAACACTTTAGGATACAAATTTACTTAACAGAGCCCCCTTTAGGCTCTGGAGCTGGAAATGTTTTAAATTATATGGGAATGAAAACAACTCTAAGTAGTTTTGAATGATAAATAATGCTTTCAAATGATAAAATTGGTGCATGATTCATTTACTGATTCATTCAATTAATATTTTTTGAGCACTTATGGGCAAGGTACATATGTGTTAGCCCTGTGTGAGATGCCTCCTTATATATCAACCAGATAGTCTGTGAGGGAAGATAACATATACATACAAATCACTGATCTGCAAGATAGATTTAAAGTTCCATAGAAGGGAAAAAGATATAAATTACTTTGGAAGGAATCTGAGGGAAGGCTTAGTCAAGAAGGTATAATTTTATGTACACAAAAAACCTCTACAATGTTCATTGCCTTATTCCCTTCAACCTAAAAACACATCTTCTAGGAATCTACCCTAAAGAAATACATAGCATTTGGATAAACATGTATATATAAAGATGTTCATCAAAGTATCATATTAAAATTATAAATGATGTAAATGTTTCACAGTAAGATTAAGCAAATTAAGATTTATTTATTTGGAAAAAAGATGGTAAAATTTGAGCTGAAGGATGGGTAGTTTTTGCATACACATAGATGGAGGAAAGGCATTCCAGGAAGAAAAAATACCATGAAAAAAGATAAGCAGGTACGAAACATGTAGCACATGTCACTGGTATAGTAAAATAGTTGTTTCATTGAACTATAGGGTATGCAAAGGGGAAAAGTGAGAGAGAAGCTAGGAAGTTCAGTTGCAACCAGAATGTAGAGAGCCTTAAATATCAGGCCAAGAAGTCTGCATTTTATTCTGAAGGCACTCAGGGACCCCTGAAGGTTTTAAAGCAAGGACATCACATAATTGGAAGTTATAAAGTATAGAGAACTATACTGGAAAGAGTTTGTAGCAAGAGATCGTGAGGGTTGGTGGTGGTAGGGAGAACACATGGTAATTATCAAATACCTTTCAAGTGGAGTTCTTCAAAGGCTATATTAAAATCTCAACAGCACCATCTAGTGCTTCACAGCTTAACTCTGCCTGATTTGGGGAATATCTAACACAGAGCTAACAGAAAAGAGACCAGATTAAGTTTAGCCAGTTTCCTTTTCTTCTACAGTTGCACCTGAGTTCAGAGAACCAATGATGTAAGAGGCAGGTAACTGGAAAGCAAACTGAGAAATAATGCAGAGGTTGGGAACAGTGAACTCACTTTTCTCTATGATCTTAGATATCCATCCTCAGATGATTCATCTTTAATATTTTATCATGTATCAACAGTTCTTGGTGAAAGCCAATGACATTTTTTGATGAAAGGAAGAAAGTGAAACAATTAGCCAGGATGGACATATTGGATGGATGGCATTTCCTCATTGCAAATATAATTGTTAGTAGTAGTAAACCTGGGAAGTTATATCCCACCTACAACCACTACCATAGCTGTCTGTTTCTGTATCTCTGGTGCTCAGATAAGATCAGCTCCCACCATTTCTGGGAGTTCTTACATGAATCAAGCAGTCTTTCCATCTTACAAACCCCAATCCTCTCTCACCAGACAGCAAGAGTTGTGAAAAAGGCCAACAAACCAGACTTCCAAGATTATCCACAATATTATATGGTAATGTTGCTCCCACCCTCTTAAAGAATAAAAGGAAAGAATCAGGAGAAACCCTAAAAAAATCACTACTTCCACAGTATCTCATCCCTAGATCTCTCTGATGAGAGCTTGACTGTCTTGATTGATAGCCTTGATATAGCTGAACTAGGCGAGACCAGCTAACAACCTCTTACTATAAGACAAATGACCATCTATTGTTGAATAGTAAGGCTTTAAGTGTCAGTCTAGAAAGAGAACAAGGATGAACAGCTAGAATATCCTCATCCAGAAAGTATATTCTAACTAATTATGCTATATCTTTCTTCAGAGCCTAAATTTAGGTGCAAATTTTATAAATGTATTTCACCTCTTTGGAACTTTTTTTCTCATTAAAATAACTGGATGGCTTCTAAAGTTTCTCCAGCCTTAGTGTTCTGTGATTCTAAATAGAGTCAACCATATCCTAGACTAGATTCTCCCCCAGAGAAGTGAGTTACAGTAATAATAAATTTGATCATGTTCCCTGAGTATGGGCATTACCCAGCAGATGTTACGTAAGAGGTCCTCTTCTTGGGGGAACCAAGGATTTTCACCATTTTATTCTCCAAGAGAATTCAATGCTCTCCCCATAGATGTTAGATAGATGGTAGACAGATAGTATACATAGATGATAGATAGATAGATAGATAGATAGATAGATAGATAGATAGATAGATAGATAATAGATGATAGATAGATAGATAGATAGATAGATAGATAGATAGATAGATGATAGATAGATAGATAGATGATAGATAGATAGATAGATGATAGATAGATAGATAGATGATAGATAGATAGATAGATGATAGATAGATAATAGATAGATAGATAGATAGATAGATAGATAGATAGATAGATAGATAGATAGATAGATAGATAGATAGATTAGATAGATAGATAGATAGATAGATAGATAGATAGATAGATAGAAAGATAATAGATGATAGATACATGATAGATAGATAGGTAGATATAGATAGATGATATATGATATATGATAGATAGTAGATAGATGATAGATGAAAGAGGTAGAGATAGATACATAGATAGATAATAGATATATAAATAGATAATAGATATAAATAGTATAGATAATAGAGATATATTCATATTTGTGAAACTATCTCTAAAACTTTTCTCTAATTGAAAATCAAACTCACTTAAAAGGAATATTTACGAGTAGTGCTTCATTAATATGACTTAAAATAAGGCAGAACTATTAGATAGGTCTTAAAGACTAAGAGGAAGTCCATGAGGCAAACACAAGTGTAAAAAGGGGAAAAAAGAGTTTTCTGGGTGCCTGTAGGATGCAAACCCTTCTCCTTGAGGCAAGATGCAGCTGAATCCCTCATTGCACCACCACCCTTGCTTCATGCCATGGTCAAAAAGTATACATAGTGACACTATAAAGTGAAATTGTAGTACATCTTGTAATTTGTGTTCTGGTAAAAATGGCAAGTTTTATTTATTTATTTATTTATTTATTTATTTATTTACTTACTTACTTACTTATTTATATTGTAGGCACTAAGCAGACATTCCTAGAGAAACATGGATGGAGTTGGAAATCTGACAGTATCTTCTGCCAGTAATAATACATGCAATGACACTATTGATGACTTCCGCAATCAAGTATATTCCACCTTGTACTCTATGATCTCTGTTGCGGGCTTTTTTGGCAATGGCTTTGTGCTTTATGTTCTCATAAAAACATATCATGAGAAGTCAGCCTTCCAAGAATACATGATTAATTTAGCAGTAGCAGATCTACTGTGCGTGTGTACACTGCCTCTCCGTGTGGTCTATTATGTTCACAAAGGTATTTGGCTCTTCGGTGACTTTTTGTGCCGCCTCAGCACTTATGCCTTGTATGTCAACCTCTATTGTAGCATCTTCTTTATGACAGCCATGAGCTTTTTCCGCTGTATTGCAATTGTTTTCCCAGTCCAGAACATTAATTTGGTTACACAGAAAAAAGCTAGGTTTGTGTGTGTTAGCATTTGGATTTTTGTGATTTTGACCAGTTCTCCATTTTTAATGTCCACATCATACAAAGATGAGAAAAACAATACCAAGTGCTTTGAGCCTCCACAGGACAATCAAGCTAAAAATTATGTTTTGGTCTTGCATTATGTGTCATTGTCTGTTGGATTTATTATTCCTTTTGTTATTATAATTGTCTGTTACACAATGATCATTTTGACCTTACTAAAAAATTCAATGACGAAAAGCTTATCAAGTCGTAAAAAGGCTATAGGAATGATCATAGTTGTGACAGCTGCCTTTCTGATCAGCTTCATGCCATATCATATTCAACGCACCATCCACCTTCATTTTTTACACAATGAAACTAAACCCTGTGATTCTGTCCTTAGAATGCAAAAGTCAGTGGTCATAACCTTGTCTCTGGCTGCATCAAATTGTTGCTTTGACCCTCTCCTATATTTCTTTTCAGGGGGAAACTTTAGGAAAAGGCTGTCTACATTTAGAAAGCATTCTTTGTCCACTGTAACTTATGTACCCAAAAAGAAGGCCTCCTTGCCAGAAAAAGGAGAGGAAATAGGTACATAGTGCAAACCCATCTCCAGTGCAATTCAATGAAAGGAGTTTTCCAGACAAGAATTTTCTCAAAACATTTACAATAAAAATAAGAATTTCTATTTATAATTCACAAATATTTGACTGAATATGCACCTATAAATCCATCTCATTTAGGCATCCACATTATTAGACATCCCAAAGATGTTTTAAGTGTTAAAAATTCAGTCCAGAACTATGAACTAAATTATAAATGGTTTTTTCATCACCACAAGGTGGGGAATATTTGTATCTTGGAACTATAAAAATGAGTCTGAGACCAACATTTTCCCCCTGAAATAAAAGCTTTACAAAGGATAAAAACTAGCCTTTTAAAATATAAAGTTAGCAACTAATTCTCAATCATCCTAACATATCCCTTGGCATGCATGACATCAGATGAGAAATAGAATGACCCAGGAACTACATAAAATGTATTGTCACCCTCTTCTTTCATAGTATTGACTAGCCAGCCAAAAGTCAGGCCATTTCTGCCAAAAGAGAATGTGCAAGTGTTAGAAAGCCTAGTATTCAGCCAAAAGGCCCTAAAAGCTCCATGCAATGTAAAATCTGTAAAATTAGGAAGATAAATCTGGTCAAAGGCCAGTTTGTCTCCAATTTTCTTCTGCTCCTGCCTGAGGCGCCCAAAACAGAATGATGGAGTTTTTGTTGCACACTGAGGTTCTTATAGGGAATTCTCTCCCTACATGACATACAATTCTTCATCAAGAAATCAGACAAGGCACTCCCATATATAAACAGAAGTAATTTAAAATGTATCTAAGCAAGGGAAAATGGCTTACTTTTTTATACGTTTATTACTGGGATCAAAATGAACTACAATCGGTTTCTGAGTAAAAATTTTACTGTTGATATTATAAATGGTTTTAGGAAGTACTTATATTTATACACATGTGTATAACTATGTATGTAAGGGATTTTGCTGTATGATATGCATTTATGAGTGGAAATTAATTATAAACTGTATTAGTGTTTTATGTTTTTTACTTTTTTATGTCATGTTGACAGATGTTTTTATATTGCAGTGAAAGCGTTCATAAGACAGCAACAACTTGATTATGGTTGATATATAATATTCCTGGGCAAGCTTTTGCACAATTCCTTAGAAAAAAAAACTCAAAACATAAAAAGTGAGGACTTCTAAGGCATAGTAAAAACTTATGAGAATTTATTCTTGTTTAATATACATGAGATTTGGCAATATCTATGCTTTTACCCTATACTATTGTTACCTTGCTTGAGACAAAGTTCAAATGCAATATTTATCATTAAAGTCAGTCCCCAGATTTACTAAGCTTTCTGCTATTTGGTAAATATAGTGTGGTAAAAAAGCAATACATTGGAAGCCAGAAGACCAGGATGTTAATTTGGTGAAACTATGAGCAAGTGACATAAAATCTCATCCTCAGCTTCCTCATTTGTAAAATGGGAATAAAACTTGTCCTGCCTTTCTTACAGGGTGTTTTCTGAGACTCAAATGTGATCATAACATACATAAATACAAAAATATACATTTTAAAATATACATTAAAGTTTTACTTTAAAAATATACACTGTGATGTATTTTAAAGACTTAGAGGTGACTGTGTTATTTAAGTACACTGATTCATATTTTCAAATGCATTATCAATTTTGAAAGAATTAGAACAAAATATGGCCATGGTTAAACTCTATTGCATATAAAAGAATCGTGTTGTTTACTTATTCCTACCTCCAGGTTTTTCCCTATGTTCTCACTTCCACTCAACAGTCCTACTTCATCCCACACAGAAACATACCATATTTCAATCACCTACAAGCTAACCATGAATTAGAACTTCTTAACATAGTATGCATTTATAAACTATGCCATACTGTTGAGTACTTAATTTTTTCCCAATTTTTCCATATACGTTAGTATATTTTTTCCAGAATGCAACCATCACATTCCATAAAGTGGAATTATTGATTCCTTGACTTTGAAAATCATGCCTTTAAATTATGGTCTTAACATGTAATGAGCTTTTACTCTAAGTGTCTTATCTGTATCAATTCATTTAATGCTTACAACTGCCCTGTGAGGTAGGTATCAGTATTATCCCTGTTTGGCTGATTTAAAAATTGAGGCACAAAGAGGTTAAGTAACTTGCCCAACATCAGACAACTGGAAGCATCAGAACCAGAGTTAAAATCTAGCAGTCTGACTCCAGAACTCAATTTATTAATTTTCTATGCTATTCTGCTGGGCCACTTTCCTCCTTCAAAATATAAGGAGAAGCAGGGTTTTTTTAATGACTTCTTTATTCATTTTAAAAACCAGGTTTAATTAAAATACATGCTTCAATTTTTTAATTACATGAACACATAAATTATGACCTAAAGCCTACCATTCCATTTGGAAGAACATCTTAACAATGCTGTATAATATCCTAGAACATTGACATTAGAAGGAAGTTCATGCATATAATTCCTAATGTCTCTATAATACATTGTGGTATTAACATGCCATGGTCCTCACACACATTTCCCTGGTCACTAACTCTTTTTGAACTTCATCAGCTATCCAAGTTCTCTTTCATTTTACACTTAGCTTTTTATTTTGTTCAGCCAATATGGTTTCTGTATCTCAAAAACTAATTTCAGATCTTAAACCAATGCTTTGTATTTTATTCTTCAGAATAAGCATAAAAGGTTTTGTGTACTCATCACTCATCTCAGCATGTAAACTTTGGTTTTCGTGGTTGTCAAAATCCCCTGGATTTTCACTCTAGAGACATGATTGTGCATTTTTAATTGACTTTTAAATGGCCTTTTGAGATAACTAAATATATCAATATCTACCTCCTACTATCCCTTCAGTGATTTCAACAGTGGAAAGCTCAGAAGCTTCTGAGATTAGATCTCAGAGCAATGTAAATTTGTGGGCCCTTTTTAGTAAGCACCACTGCACAGGAGGTAGGAAAAGAAGCTCACTTATTCCATTCTACTTCATGTGAATAACCTGGGTTATACTACCTTTGCCTGATACTAAAACAGCAAAATGTTTCTGAGAGGATAAATCCAAAATACTTTCTTTGCTCCATCATAGAACTGTTACCCCAAATAAATAAGAAGACAAACTCTAACTCTCCATTTATCCTCCAAGGATAGAGGTTCCTAGAACTAAAGCTTTGAAAGAGAAGCTATTCCTCAATAGTACAAATGGTACTTTGAAAGTAGAAATCTAATATAATAACCTTAACAGTGTCTAAAAATAACTTTTGAACATTTAACTAATTAAGAATCTTACAAACTGGAAATTGGAAGGAGCTTTAAAGATCATAGAGCCCAGATTCCCATACTTTGAGTCTCTTCTAGACCTTTCTGATATGAATGTAATAGAAATGAAAAATGCTTCCCATAGGATCTTCAGTGGAATGGAAATTATTGAGGAGAGAATTGGTGATCTTGCACAGGTATAATAACAGAAAGAGAAGAAAAAGAGAACTAAACAGAAGGAATATTTGAAGTGATTATAGCTGAGAATTTTCTAAAATTAATGGCAGACACCAAACCACAGACCCAGGAATCCCAGACAATACCAGATCAAGATGCTTATGCAACATATGGAGCTATTTCCCACAGGAAAAAAAAAAACTAGCTGAGCAATAACTACACATCAAAAAAACAAGAAAGCAGGTAGGAAAGGCTGAGATGCAAAATCACTGTAAATTCCAGCAACTCACAATCAGAAGGGAATTCAAAACCTAGAGCTTCTCCATGGGGAGTGAAGGATTTGAAACCAACATCAGGCACCTCAACTTTTAAAACCTATACCTGAGAGATGAACTTCCAAAATATGTAGCTTTGAAAGCCAATGGGGCTTGCATCCATAAGACCAGATAGCAAACTCAGACACAGTTCTTAAAGAGCTTGAGCATGGACTTACCCACCTCAGGGCCTAGTGTACAGTCAGCTATTGTAAAAGCACCCAAACTTTAAGTCAAAGAGGCTAATTTGCATACCTTAAAGTGCTTCCTGGAGGGGCAGACATCTACTTTAACACACATTTACATGCCTATGAGGAGGCTCTCTGGGAATGGAAGCTGGCAGATGCTTAATTTGTACTCTCCCTAAGCCTCTCTCAAGCTAGCAAGTGCTATATTTTTTCAACTGATTTTAAGTTTTTAAAAAAATCCTCTGGAGTAGTAGGATGGAGGCAGAGCCAAGATGGCGGCGTGAGTAGGACAGTGGGAATCTCCTCCCAAAAACATATATATTTTTGAAAATACAACAAATACAACTAATCCTAAAAGAGAGACCAGAAGACACAGGACAACAGCCAGACTACATCCACACGTGTGAGAGCCCAGCTCCTGGTGAAAGGGATAAGATACCAGCTCCGGTCCAGTGGGACCTGAGCGCCCCTCACCCCAGCTCCCAGTGGGAGAAGAGGAGTTGGACCAGGGAGGGAGAGGGAGCCCAGGACTGTCAATCACCCAGCCCTAGCCATCCACATGAGAGCACAGACACAGTGCATGCGTGGGGTGCTGGAAACTAGGGAAACAGGGCAGCAGGATCTTTGAGCGGGTCCCAAAGCTGGTGCCCCTGTGACAAAGAAAAGCGAGTGCTTTTTGAAAGTCTTAAAGGGACAGGGCCACAGCTGGAAGGAAGCATCCTGGGTCACTGTCCAGCAGCTGGAAATTCAAGGAAATTCGGGCACACTAACCCCTGGACAACAGCTCTGAGACCCTTCACGGAGGTAAACAGCCAAACAGCCCCCCGTCCATTACCCCTCTGGGACCCCGCATTAGCAGAGCAGCAGCCATATGCTGGCCACGACCACAGCAAGGGAGCTTCCTCCATACCGGCCAGGCAAGATACAGAGACCCAGTCTACACGCAATTGCCCAACACGAGCCACTAGGGGTCGCAATTGTCCTAGTAAAGAAAGGCCAGGAGCAAGTAGAAAGCCTTGGCTCTCCCAGCTGACAGAAAGTCAATAGCTCACCATTGCACCTATCAACATGAAAAGGCAAAAAAATTTGATCCAGACAAGACTAACCCAGACAGCTTCGACATCTTCTACATCTTCCCCTGAGAAGGAACCTGAGGAGATAGATTTAACCAGTCTTCCTGAAAACGAATTCAAAACAAAAGTCATAACCATGCTGATGGACTTGCAGAGAAATATGCAAGAACTAGGGAAGGAGAATACAGAAATAAAACAAGCTCTGGAAGGACTTCAAAACAGAATGGACGAGATGCAAGAGACCATTAATGGACTAGAAAACAGAGAACAGGAATGCAGAAAAGCTGATGTAGAGAGAGATAAAAGGATCTCCAGGAATGAAAGAATTTTAAGAGAACTGAGTGACCAATCGAAATGGAAAAATATCCGCATTATAGGGGTACAAGAAGAAGAAGAAGAGAGAAAAAGGGATAGAAAGTGTCTTCGAAGAAAAAATTGCTGAAAACTTCTCAAACTAGGGGAAGAAATGGCCTCTCAGATGACAGAGGTACACAGAACTCCCATGACAAGGGATCCAAGGAGGGCAACAACAAGACACATAAAAATTAAAATGGCAAAGATCAAAGACAAGGACAAAGTATTAAAGGCAGCCAGAGAGAAAAAAAAAGGTCACCAACAAGGGAAAACCCATCAGGCTATCATCAGACGTCTCAACAGAAACCCTACAGGCCAGAAGAGAATGGCATGATATACTTAATGCAATGAAACAGAAGGGCCTCGAACCAAGATTACTGTATCCAGCAGAATTATCATTTAAATATGAAGGAGGGATCAAACAATTCCCAGACAAGCAAAAGTTGAGGGAATTTGCCTCCCACAACCCACCTCTACAGGGCATCTTACAGGGACTGCTCTAGACGGGAGCACTCCTAAAAAGAGCACAGAACAAAACACCCAACATACGAAGAAAGGAGGAGGAGGAATAAGAAAGGAGAGAAATAAAGAATCACAGACCAAGTTTATAATAGCTCAATAAGTGAGTTAAGTTAGACAGTAAGAAAGAAAAGAAGCTAACCTTGAACACTTGGTAACCAAAAACATAAAGCCTGCAATGGCAATAAATACATACCTTTCAATAATCACCCTAAATGTAATTGGACTGAATGCACAAATCAAAAGACAAAGAGTAATAGAATGGATAAAAAAGAAAGACCTGGGGAGCCAAGATGGCGGCGTGAGTAGAGCAGTGGAAATCTCCTCCCAAAAACACATAGATCTATGAAAATATAACAAAGAAAACTCTTCCTAAAATAGAGACCAGAGGACACAGGAAAACATCCAGACCACATCCACACATGCAAGAACCCAGCGCCTTGCAAAGGGGGTAAGATACAAGCTCCGGCCTGGCAGGACCCGAGCGCCCCTCCCCCCGGCTCTCGGTGGGTGGAAAGAAACCGGAGCGGATTTTTTTTTTGGCGAGTGCTTTTTGGAAGCCTAAAAGGGACAGGGACCCCGGTGCTAGGAAGGCAGGGCAGCAGGACTGGTGAGCGGGTGCCTGGGACCAGCACCT